CACAGATCCCAAGCTCTGTCGGGTCGGTAGAAAATACAACCTACCCGGTAGATAGTATAACTGGTCCGACACTGTGCAACCTTGTCGTTCCGATAGGGAGAGTGTGAAAAACAAAGGAGGTTGCGTCTGGATTGGCGATACTGGGGAGATAGTTCCATAACAGCCCAATTTCGGCGGACTACGCAAGGGTTCAGGTCGCACGTGTTCATGGCGACCAGATGTCGTTGGAGCTTGACATCCCAACACCAGAGGGGATTGAACTTCTCGGGGATGTGGTTAACCAGTTCATACTCTGGCATCGTCGTGACATCATCCTCACTGGACAGTTCACATCGATGACACTAGCTCCATCGGTGCCAATTACGGCTGCACCTCCTGCACCGCCGTCCCCTCCGATCTGCACTACCCCACCCGGATCTCCACTCCCACAGATATCACCACTTAGAGGTCCCTCTCCACCTCCACAAAAAGTAGCACCTAACTCCCCAACTACCCTACCTCGGCAGCCGTCTCCTGCTCGTCAGTCCTATCTTGCTCCACCTCTTGACGAACATGTGCCACCTCCACAGCCAGATACATCAAAGTAGCAGCCAAAAACTTGTGAAGCCCGCAAGCTCATACCCGTTATGGTATCCACGTACAACAAGGAGAAAATGGCAGAGTATGAGACGCGGATGGTTTTGCAATCTTTCAAGGGTCGAAGGGGTCCGCTAAAGCCAGTTGGACCTGATCAGTATTCGGACGCACAGAAGAGCGTTGTAGGTCTTGCTAACAAAATGCAATCTTGGACCTCCGATGAAGTGCCTAAGGAGTATGAATATGGCAAGTCGTTTTTGCCGTTCAACTTAATGTGTGAACTCCCATGGCAAATGAGGTTGATGCATGAGTGGTACTTGAGGGCAAGTGAGTTAGGTCTCGGGATAATTACTGTGCATGTCCTGGAAGGCGCTTTCAAGGATGGACCTAATGCAAACTTCGCCTTCAGTTTCAAGGACCTCCACGTATTCTTTAAGATGGATAAAATGGATATCAATCTCGTCGCCGCGTGGTACCTGTAAGCATTCCATGTACTTCGTTATTACCCAATGTGTGCCAATATAATTGTTAGTTATTCTAACTTCCAAATTTCCTTAGGTCACAATGGGTAGACGCTCAAAGAACGGGGGCCTCAATCGGTTACGTAAATCCAATGATGGTTTGTGAGACGGCCCACACTGTGCGGATATCGGAGGATAGTGCGGTACTAAAGAATAAGACACCTTAGGAGAAAAAAGATTACATCGAGCGTCTGCATAAGAGAAAGATGGCCGAGGTGGGAAATTACTTGGCCACCTCATTTCTCGCACACTCCGACAAACGAGTCATCATGGTCCCGTACTACTTTGGGTAAGCAACTTCGACATATTTCTGTTCACATATTAATAACAGTGCATGAAAATATGTCTCACGTAATTTCATAATCCGTGTTCGTAGCGAACACTACATACAATTCCTCGTCTATCCAACGGACCAAACCGTCGTAGTTCTTGATCCGGCGGACTATGACAAGGACGCGTACATGGAGTTCCTATGCTTGCTGAACTTGTAAGTTCGAAACAATTTCCGTAAAGATTCCAACTTTCCGTAAAGATCATTACATTAGATTTATCATAATTAATTAATTTATTTTTGTAGAGCACACGACCGTTATAAGAAACATGGCGGGTATGTTAAGAATCCAAGTAGAGAGAAACTGTACATAAGAGGACACTGGCCGGTATATCAGCATTTATTCGGTATGTACATCACGATTGTCACTTCTTACTTCTGACGTGTCCACTTGTGTATGCAGTGTTATAAGCAACCTAGCTTGACGAACCTATGCGGTTATTACTTGTGCGAGATGCTCAGGGTCAATGGGAGATACAGAACTGAGTTTACAGATGTAAGTCATTAAACTCTCCTTAGATATTGCAAATAGTTCATTAAACCAAACTGTAACACAAATCATTTGTCTTTTAATTTCTGTAGCTCCTGAGTATCCCTTATAGCGCAAGCCGGTTCGATCAGAAAACGCTTATCAACTTGTGCACGGACTTGTGCCGGTACATTCGTCGTGACATCTGTAATCATCTAGGAGAGTTCCATGATCCTCATAGCGAACTTGCTACGGACCCCAAATTTAAGAATCTAAGAGAGTGGGAGAGGCAACATGCTGTGGACTAAATGGATGTATTTGTCGTGGGGGATGCTTGTAATAACACTTTCTATGTAATATGATTTAATTTGATGTTTTGACTAATTTTCGGCTAATTTTCCATCTATCGTCCCGTGAGGTCAAATTATACAGACCGCACGGGATAATAGGTTATCCAAGACGGCTAGCACGTGCTAGAGCGACCGCACGGGACAACCCGTGCGGTCGCTCTAGCACGTGCTAGCCGTCTTGGATAACCTATTATCCCATGCGGGCAACTTAATTTGACCACACGGGAAAATAGATTATCCCGTGCGGTCGGCCTTACTGCACCGCACGGGATAATAGAATATCCCGTGCGGTCCGTATAACCAAACCGCACGGGATAATCGATTATCCCGTGCGGTCGGCCCACCCGCACGCGAAAATAAAGATTTTCCCTGACGATGAGCTGCATGCGGGCTGGGCGACCGCACAGGATAATCTATCCAACCGCCCGGAATAATGCGTATTGTAGTAGTGGCCCTAGAGGGGGAACACGACGCCCAAAGGCGTCGTCGTTGTCAGCCCGAAAACATCGAGCTAAACTTTCACCCGCATCACCAGTTACCACCAAGCCGTCGCCATCCCAACACCCCACCACCAAATGACCTCCTTCAGCATGCTGAACCAGCGTCCCTCCACCGGCAAGTAGCCCTACGCAGCCTCGACGCGAAGGCTCTCTGCCATCCTCGATGCCTCACAGTGCGACGAAAGCCCCGTCATCCATAGTTGACTCCGTCTCTCCCTCCACGGCTGCCTCTCCCTCCTCCACGGCCACAACCCGCCACCGCCCCATGCTGCTGACCCGCAACACCGTCACCTACGACGCAACATTGCGGCGGTCACCTCGCTCCGCTGCTACGGGCACTGATCGGTACCTTCTTTGAGTCACAGCGTCTCCTCACGCGCCTCACCCTCGGTGTCATGTAGTCGTCCGCAAACTGGCGCGAAAACCGCGGCGGCTGCGGATCCGTCCGCAGGGGTGTCAGATCTGGCCGCGACACTCCCTCTTTGAGTTGGAGGCCAATTTGCCTAGATTGGAGATGCTCCCTGCCATCTTCAGTGCCACTGCTCCAGCCCACATCCCCGCTCCTCGCCGGATCCGGCCGAGGAGGGCCTGGATCTGAGCAGCGGGCGTCTCTGCCTCCTTGGTGCACCGTGGCTCTCCAGCCATCATGGCACCTTTGGGGAGTAGGGAGGGGGAAGAGAGAACATTGCCGCTGCCGTCCTTGCGAGCCACTCGGACGGCAGCAAGGCGGGAGGGGGAAGGAGGAGGAACGGCGGCGCCCTGCAGTGGGAGCGATGTTGGGGGGGGGGGGATCACCCCCACCACTATACTTTTTGTGAAATCTATATAGATCAGCCCTAATATGAGTTCACCATTATACGGCGAGTTTACTGATCATAGTTGGATATTTAACTATTTTGGTGTCACGTGAATATATAGGGATGTCCCCTCATGTATCGCTTTCTCTCAAATACAAGTTGTTCATTAATTTGTTTTGGATTTGTCCCTATTTTTATCAATGCATGAATTGAGTTTAGACTTGATTTTGTAAAATTACATATATGTATGATATATGATTGTTTTAATTATTTTAAGAATTTTTCATGACTATTTACATGATTTTTTATCAGGAATTCTCCTTGTTGTCAGTTGTGACATTACATTCGCATAAAGTACACCCATATTTGTGAATTGTTTTCTGTTTGGTCCTTTTCAGCTGGTACATATATATCACGTTCTCACCTGAAATAATTACTTGATGAATCAATTGTATATTCATCGGGCATCAATGTTGTGTTGTCGGCAACAAAAGCATCGACAAACTAGGCGTTTATTTAACCGGTCAAAGCCAAAGTAATTAGTTCTTCCGTCACGGTCAAGGGCATCAGTATCCCAAGAGAATAAGCAAGGATGTGGACATCAGTCAGAACGTCCAACCTGAATCATCAGAATTATTGCCCCGTACATCATTACTTGTATACTTTTTTATCATGTGGAAATGTAATGCCTTTTTGCCCGTATATATCCTGATCCCCAATTGGTCTTGTCTCTCCATCCTAGTTGCTTGCGTGATTAGCACAAGGTCCAGATGACCCCAAAACTACGATCAATCGTTCATCTTGTTGCGTAGCATATGGTTGCAATATTTGATCTAATCACAAAGCTTTAATTTTGTACGCTCTTGCGATGAGTGAGCTGTCCCGTGTCCACGATGACACGCACGAGAATACGAGATCGATATATAAACATGATGCTTGTCACGAGGGTCACAGCCTCTCACAAGATGGCTACAAAAACTATACCGACATAAATATGATCAGTTCATCGATCTCACTACAATCGCAATAAATTAAAACTGAAGAGAATTCAGAAGCGTCTCTTGGTGATCACTGAGCACCAAAGCAAGTGCATATAATAATATGTAATAGTGTAATACCACTGTCTAATAGTAATACGTTACGCGGGCCCCACCTGTCTGTCAGTGGGAGGCGAGAATCTGCAGCTGGCTGTGGCTAGCTAGCTTGGCCCCAAGGAGTGTATAGCTAGAGTGTAGCTAGAAACAGATGCAGTCAAAAGGAACGGGGCCAAACGGAAGCAGCCAAGCTGAGCTCGGTCATGGCGACACCTCGGCGAGGAATATATCTCACACCATGCCACCATGCATGCTATCAGCTCTAGCTCCAAGTCCAACCCAACAGACAACTGATCGATCGATCGATCTCGATCGAGAGAGAGAGAGAGAGAAGGAATGTGAGAGAGGAGACCACAGCAACATGCATGTAAGGTAAAAGAAAATAAAAGAAAAGAGAAAAGGATTGAGTAAAGCAAAGCATATGCATGGACACACACACACGAGTACACGACACAGCACAAGACACCAGCAACGCACAGTTCACCACGCATGCCTGCCTCTGCCCCTGCCTCTCTCTAAGCTTTCACCCATCGATCTATCACAGCATGTACCCCTGCCTCTGTCTCTCTCTCTCTCTCCCTCTATCTCTCCTCTAATTAACCTCTCTCTTCTTGCTGTGCCCAGTAGCTACTAGCTAGCTAGAAGAATTTCGCATGCAGAAAGCATATACTTCTTTCTCAGCGAAGCTAGCATCCATGGCGACGCGCCGGCGGCGTCCGGCGACGGCGACGGCGAGAGGACGATGATGATCAGAGGAAGAGGAGCTCGGCCTTCTTGACCTTGGAGATGCTCTCGAGGACGCCCGCCGGCGACACGTGACCCATCACTGTCACCTTCTTGCTCTCCAGGTCGATGCTGAACGACGTCACACCTGCATTATACACACAAACATTCATTCCTTCCTTCACCCACAGAGTAAAAAAAATCCAAACGAAAGAGAAGAAAAAAAAGTTACTGCTCTACTCTACTACGTACTACTCCTATACTCCAGGTTAGTTTCAGTGTTTCATGTCTATGCGGCCACTCTGCAATCTGCATATGCAGTTTTTGACAGTCACTAGCTACATGCTGCAGTGCATGCATTCTGCAGAAGAAAGCACAGTAACATGCAATACGTACGTACGTCCTGCATCTGTGTGCACTGTAGAGCAGTATAATTTTTACTACATTTTTTTACTCGTATATCTATCTATCTATCTATCTATCTTGGTAAGTACAGCACAGGCACGTGAGTCCTCCTACGCACGCAAGTACGTCACCACATTCTGTAGTGATTGATGAGGGGGGGTGCAAATTAATTCTGGGGGGTAGAGAAGGGGCTGGGTGACAAACTGGCATGTGGGCCCCGGAGAAATAGTAACATTTTCCAATGGCTTGATAGTTGATAGAAAGATATAGATGTTCAGTTCGAAGTGCTTGGTCAGAGCTTTTTCAGAAATTCAGAATCACTACATGCAACCAGTGCTAAACTTTTAGCTATCAAAGATATCTAGATTCAATCTAATAATTGTGTAGCTTGTGCTCTGGTTAACTCAATATATGAATGCCTGTTACAAGGGTGCTTAATTAAATTAACTGAACATTTTCTTATGCAAGTACTCGTTCTTCAGACGACTAGCTGTATACATACATATACGCACCATACATCCATGTGATCGATCTGTTCAGACTCTACAAGTAGTTAATTTAAAAAGTTGGTTTAATTTCCCTACTTCCAGAATGGCAGTAGTATTACCACTAGTAGAAGTAGTTGAGTGACCTACACTTGATCTCTCTAGCTATTTTAAACAGCACAATTCTATTTTCTGAACTTATAGCCATCACTGTCAGCGTTGACATGGGAGTTTAGCATAATGTGTACTACCTACTGTGTTGACCACTTTTATTCTGGTACAGGAGTACTAATTAAGCCAATTATGTTATGGTCACTAAGCTTCTTCTTAGTTAATGCAATGGTTGGATATATGATCAGTAGTATATGTCCTACGGCATGTGTGCCCAGTGGAATTAAGGAAGATGCAACAGCAAAGAGAACTATACATGCATGTGATCTTCATAGCTCCAGGACATAGTATACTGTGAGAGCTGCAGTACTGATGGGGTAGACTAGACCATGTCTAAAGGTGTATATGTGTAATCACTAATCAGCAAGGAATTTTGCACAAAAAACCCAGTAAACATTCCAGCAATGTCTTCTTTTTAACAACTTAATACTAAACTACTCCAGTGGTATTAATTGCCAAGTATCCCCTGATTCCCCTACAATTCAAAATATGTACTCCAATTCTAGGACTTAGCACTATGACCAAAAGCAGAGGGTATACAAGGTTGAAAATGGATAAGGATCTGGATATAAATTGATGGTGTTTTTCATACTTAAAAAGGAAGAAGACACAGCATGGCTAAACCAAAACAGAAAAGAAGCTAATACACATATGCATGGTGACAAAAATTTCACATTGCAATGATAACCTCTTCTCTGATTGGTAGATTGGTAAATAGCAGCACTAGTAGTGGAAGTACAAGCATGAAAACATACCTTCCATCTTGGAGATATGCTTCCTCACTTTCCCTGCACACCCCTGGCAGTGAATAGCCACCTTCATGACCACCACCTGCAAATACATACATAATGCACGCTGTCAACCGCCAAGCAAAGCCCAATATCAAATCAAGAAGATTCCCAGCAAGAACAGTGTGAGAGTGCGTGAGTGAGTAGCTGTGAGAGCAACCAAAGAAACAGCATCATCGATCTCACTCCAAGTAAACTCTGACTTACACAGTTACACAGTGATTCTATCCCTGCATATATATATAATTTTTTTTACACAGTGGTTTTTATCCTTCTTTTTCAATACGAGAACAGAAGCAATGGCAGTAACAGACTAACAGTCGTAACTCGTAACAGCAACAGCAACAATGGAGTAGAGAGAAACAGAGAGAGATGGCGATGCATCAGTGGCTAGTCTGAATCTGCAAAGGAGGCACAAAGTCTCCATTATCTCTTCTGCAGATTTCAGAAGGCACTGGCGCCATGGGCGTATTGGTGGTGGTGGCTGCTGCCTGCTGCTTCTGCAGAAGAAGAAGAGCGCACCTTGTGGCCGCTGCTCCACTGTTCTCCCAGCGGCATAGTCCTTTCTGTTTCTTTATTTGGGCGTAAATGGTGTTACTGTAACGCTCGCGGCACCTTCAGTTTTCACTTCACCGTAAACGAGGCAAGCAGAGAGTTATTATCATTACTTCCTAGAGTTACTACGGCTCAACGTTCTTCAAATCCTAAAATTTTTAATGGTCAAAGACCTCAAAATTCTCTTGAAAAGATGTACTATAAGAATTTCAAATGGTTGTTTTCTTTTTAAAAGGAGAAAAGGTGAATTGAGCGTAGTTAGTACTTGCAAGGATTCATTGCAGGTGCAAAATGGTGGTAAGATCAGTGGTAGTAAGTGGTAAGAATTTTGTGTGCAGAACAGAGAGGAGAGCAACGAGCAGAGTAGACGTACCTGGAGGACTTGGTCGCCGGGCGACGCGGCGGCGAGGGGCGCGCGCTTGGCGGCGGCGGCGGCTGCGGCCATCTCCCTCGCCGGGGTCTCCTTGGGGCTCTTGGTCACCATGGGGAACGTCACCGCGACGCCGGCCCCGCGGCGAGGGCGCCGGTGCTGCTTCGGCGGCTGCGGCGGCGGCGGCGGAGGAGGAGGAGGAGTAAGCGCCTGCCTCGGCGCCGCGAACCGCCGCGACGGGACCCGCGCGCCGCCGGCGGATGCAGCAGCGCCGAGGCGCGCGTACCTGACGTCGTGCGCGAGGCGCGCGTCCTCGGCGATGGTGCGGTCGGCGCGGCGCGACACGATCATGGAGCGCGCGTCCCCCGGCACGCACACCGCCGTCGCCGCCTGCGACCGGCACAGCATCCCGCCCGCCCTCATCCCCCAAAACGCTGCCACCACCAAGACGTACTGCTTCTACCCCTTCTCCACAGCCTCGTCGCCAAGAGAGAAACAAAGCTAGTAGAATAGCTAGGCAGCAATGGCGATGCAGAGGAGGAGGAGGAGAGGAGGCGATATATAAGAGAGGAAAGCGAGAGAGAGAGAGAGACGAAGCGGTGGAGGAGGAGGAGGACAAAGGAGATGGAATCACGGTGGAATTAATGGAGGGGGTTTAGTAGCATGGTTCTCTCGTCTCGTCTCGACAACACGTACTCGCGCGCGCGCGCGGGCGCTGGTGAGATTGCGTGTGTAGCGTAGTGGTGCCGACGCGAGACAAAGGCTGGAATTATTGCCAATGCCAGCCAGTGTGCTGTGTGCATGCATGCCTTCCCCTGCGACGCCGGTCGGTCTGGTCCTCTGGTGCACGCGCGGCGATGACACGACGGGGTGGGTCGTCGCGCTCCCGGATCCGGCGGCCTCATCCGTGTCGTTGAAACTTGAAAGGAAAAAAGGGCACTTTTCACGGCGGGCGAGCGAGCGACCGGGGCGTCGGGTCGGGTCGGTTTGTTTTTCTTTGCCGCGAGAGAAATTGAAGGTAGATAGTGCGATGGGACAGGGGAATTCCGCCGGAACACGGGCGGGAGATGCAGTTAAGGGCAAAAGGTTAATAATTGGGTTTTTTTTTCCCCCTCTTGTTGCTTCACCGGGCCCCTCCCCGATCTTGCTTCTTTGATGTGAAGGAGAATTAACGGTTTTGCTTCGTTATTATGTTTAGAGGTTTTCACGAGGCTTAATGAAGTACAGCGGCATTGTATGGTGGAAATTTGTGATTAGTTCAGAAGATTTTTTTTTCCAAGGAGATTAGTTCGAAAGATAAAGCAGGTGAAGAATAAAATGAGAGATACTTGCGATTGGTTAAGATGAGGGGTATGTGAAGAAATGGCTGCATTTTAAAATAAATTTAAACTCTAAAAATATTTATATTTTGGAACCAAAGGGAGAAGCATACTTGTTAGTATAGCATCTTAGTTTCTATGAACCGTTTGGGTGCTGGTGGATATATAAGCGGTTAGATATATATAAGAGTTTTTATGTTAGTTGGTTCTCTATACCTTGGTAGGCGGTTTGACAGTGCGTTGTCGGTCAAACGTGACGAGTACATCGCTAAGGTGATAAGATATGTACGTAACTTGAAGACATGCAAACGTTACTACCAAAGACTTTGTAAACTGTGTAAAAACACATATTTAATAAGATGTATCTTTAGAGTTGAGAAAAACAAAACGGTTTTGTCTTACGTTACCTTTTTACGTCATAAGAGGAGGACGGTTGCAGATGCTCGTTGTTATTAAATATAAGACGCCACGTGTTTTTTTCATATTCATGCTTGTGTCAGTCTAACAATTAATCCAGCAATATATGTTTTACTAGCATTAATTATATTAATATTTGAAATTATTTCTACATATCAAATCTTTATTTATCAAATGTGGCCATATATGTATCACTAGAGCATTGCATATTTTGCATATTGTGATCAGCTGTTTCCTTTGATACCGTGAAGAGCATTGAGTGTGCCAGCTGGGTTTTCCCTTCTCATTTGAGATGGTTATATAATGACAAGTGCACTTTACAATTGATAATACGAAAATAGTTTTTTATCTTTATCTTTATATTTATTGTCATGTAGATATGAACAATCAAGCAAATAGAGTCTAAATGAAAAGAAAAACCATATATATATATATATATATGTGGTTTGATATGTATATATACCAGTCTAAATGCAAATATTTATTGATAAATAAAGATTTGATATGCATATATACCATTTGTACTTCCTATGGAGGTTGAGAAGACCAACTTTCTGCGTTTTAGAGAGATAGACCATATTTACGTCAGGTCTATCCTAGTTGACTTGTCATTATAGGGTAGAGATCGGTAGTTGCTAAGATAAGTTTTCAAAAGGAAATAGCTACATGCTTTTAATATTAAGAAGAGGCCAGAAAGATGCCAATTGACCATCATATGTTGTATACCAGTACTCATGAATGCATATCTGGATAAAGATATATTGTAGAAGATGGATGTATATATATTTGCATTTTCAGAGTAGCATGCGATAGAAAATAACTTCTCCCTCCATTTTATATTATAAGACGTTTTAATTGTTTTTCTTATCAAACTTTTTAAGTTTGACTATTTTTTAAAAATTTTAGCAACATCTTCGGTACCAAATTAGCTTCATTAAATCTAGCCTTAAATATATTTTGATAGTAAATTTGTTTTGTGTTGAAGATGTTGCTTTGACTTTCTATAAATTTGGTTAAAATGAAATATTCTGGAAGGTAGCACATGTTACAATATTCTGGGAAATATATAGTGCAAACTTCCATATGCAGTGTAAACCTAAAACAACAGTTGGATAAAAAAGATAGTGACATGGACAATCTCAGACCTCTTTTTTTTTTCTTCTAACGGTAGTTATTTTGAGGTTTGCACTGTATATGAAGTTTCCAATATATATTTCCCAAAATATTCCATGTCAAGATTGAGATAGAGCACTATTATTATTCATGATATGCGCCATCCTTTGTGCATTTGAAGAGGTTTACTATCAACAATCACCCTACTTCATATTTTACTAACAATAATGTAAATATTAAAAATGGTGAAATGATTATATAGCTTATAAAGAAAGAGAGAAAGGCAACTTCGAAATGGCGAAATGATTTTCGGGCTATGCCTTCTAAAAGAAAATGATGACCATATGTTCAATGTTAAAGACCATACCAAATGGCATGTCATCTTATATTTATAATTATTCTGGACTTTCCATCTTTTCTCATCTGACCGAGTGTATCTATTTATATATACTAGTACTACATCATATCAATTACTAGTAATAGAATTAAAGAGATAGATAATTGATTCTACCATAGTAGAAATCTTCTATTATTATATACTAAAAGTCCATTAAACTTCCCCAAAACGCTCTCAAACCGCCACTTGGCGCTCTAATAAATTAGAGAAATCATAGAAAAACTGAGAAAATAACAAAACATCTATCCATCGATTTTCACTTAAATCGGTGGGTCCAATATTATAAACCGTTAGATTAGATCTCTTAAAACAAACAGATAACCCACCAACCTCCTCCTCCCTTACATATCTCACTATTCCTTTCCGTTCAGTATGAACGTACGTACGTATTTGACCTTCTTTTTTTTTCTTTTTCCATGTATGTATATGACACAATAATAATTATTATCAGTGATAATAAATTTTAAATAATAGTTATATATCAGCATATAACTCTTCACAAACATATATAGATAAATTAGCTCTATAATACTTGAAAATAAAGTTTAGACCCATTATATTATATTATGTGCCCATTATTTTAGACTACATTTATTAATAAAAGTATTTATCCATCAATTTTCACTTAAATTGGTAGACATATTATTTAGACCATAAAATCTATCTTTTGTTACAAAAACAAAGCCTCCAATCCTAAAAGTTTTGAGAAAAAAAATAACATCCGGCTAATCACTCCTCCTGATCAATCCGGCAAATCACTCATCCGATCTCTAATACGTAAATACGTACTCCCTCCGTTTTAAAATGTTTGACACCGTTGACTTTTTAGCACATGTTTGACCGTTCGTCTTATTAAAAAAAATTGTGAAATATGTAAAACTATATATGTACATGAAAGTATATTTAATAATGAATCAAATGATATGAAAAGAATAAATAATTACTTAAATGTTTTGAATAAGAGGAATGGTCAAACACGTACTAAAAAGTTAACGGTGTCAAACATTTTGAAACGGAGGGAGAGTAGTTAGTATGTACGTGTTGCGTGTATAAAAAGATTAAGTTCGGCCAACAAACTCTCTCATTGGATTATTATATTAAAAAGGCTAATTCAAAAGTTGTATTCCTGACAATTAAACCAACAATTTTAAGACCCACATATGTTGTGAAAAAGACTAACATGTTAACTTAGATTATTGCTCTTTTTTACACCATCCAATTACTCATAAAAGTATACAAAACAAAATTTACCGTGTAGATTATGAAGTATAGAACTTTATAAATATGCATAGCCAAAATAACAACAATGAAAAACCATGTATATTTTGAAAAAAGACATGCGGACCTATACTTTGCTTTTGTGTACCATCCAAAGAGCCTCAATTATATAATAAAAGTCTATTAAACTTCCTTGAACTCTCAAGCCGTCACTTGGTGCTCTAATAAATTAGGGAAAATCCTAGAAAGTCTGAAAAAACGCAAAACATCTATCGGATTTAACAAATTGTTTAAATCACTTTACAAACAAGCATAACTCAATTAGCTTTACCGCATTTTAAAACAAAGTTTACATAATTATATTATTTACCATTAAATTAATAATTTATTATGTATATTTACTATATTTCAACTTGTAAAGGGAAATTATATTTTAGATATCATTTTTATTCTTTTCATGTAATTCAATGCAAACGGATATGAAAATTATGGAAAATATGACAATATAAATTATATCACTATATATCGGTTATCAGTTCACAAATCTTGGTACTTTGCATGGCATTGGAGATTTGACAAATCATGAAAAAAAAATAATGGAAGTAGATTATATCATCGTATAAGTATGCTTATATATAGGGGTCCATACTATTGATCCATATATACCGGGATAACCTAATGTATCAATCATATTTACCACTACCATTGTTCTACGTTTTAGAGACTATATTAATCCTCTAAATAATAACAAAATAATAGACGAAGTACAAGTCATGTTTTCTCTCTCTTTGCTTTCTATTAAGTACGTACGGTATATGGGAACTTCGTACTAAGACTGTGTTCGGGAGGAGGGACACACAAATCAAAGCTTGTATTATTGCATGATTAATTAAGTATTAATTATTTTTTAAAAAAATAGATTAATATGATTTTTTTAAACAACTTTTATATAGAAAGTTTTTGCATAAATCACACCGTTTAGTAGTTTGAAAAACGTGCGCGCGGAAAACGAAAGAGATGGGTTGGGAAAACGGGGGGAAGAACACAGCCTTAAGATTGGTTTGTTAGGGAAATCATACTAAACATATTTATGAGAGTGCATGCAGTAAAACATACTTGATAAAAAGAATTGATCGAACAAAAGTGCAATTTAGCCCATGGCACTTAAACATTTATAAACTCTTTACACATACTAATTAAATTTATATGATTGTGCTATTCTTTGAAATCAATTTAATTTTTCAAAGAAAATAAGAAAACGT